GTTAGTGTCCCTTCGGAGGGACTAACAACCTAAGCTAAGCTAACAACCGTTAGCTCTTAGCACCGTTAGCAGTGTCTGTAATGACTCATTAACTCTTAAACGGTCCGTGAAAAAAATATTTTTTTCCAGCGGATGTCTTAGTTACAACATGATTGAGCTAGCAAAGCAGTTTTGTGTTGCGATGTGTGGTATTTATTCAGTTTTGGGAAATCACGATGTCTAGAAAGCATCAGTGGCTGCAGCAGCAGCAAAGCTAACATCAGGACGTCATCTGTTAAAAGCCTCCCGTTGTCGGATACGACATGAAACTACTCCAGTTAGCTCAATCATGTTGTAACTAAGACATCCGCTGGAAAAAAATATTTTTTTTCACGGACCGTTTAGAGTTAATGAGTCATTACAGACACTGCTAACGGTGCTAAGAGCTAACGGTTGTTAGCTTAGCTTAGGTTGTTAGTCCCTCCGAAGGGACACTAACTTAACGTCAAATAAAATTTCTCCAAACATGTTTCTTGTTATTTTAGGTAGTTATTATCACGCTAATGTATGTTCAAGTGTCCATTTCCCCCAATAAGTTGGTTTTAATTCGTTATTTGATTCTGTAAACACAGTCTGACCATCTCAAGCTTTTATTTTGGTACTTCCGGTGACCGGCAGTGTGAATTTGCATATTAGCTAAATATTTAGTTTCACCCAGAATATTTAGATTTAACATTTAGATTTATATTTAGCATTTAGATTTAACATTTAACATTTATATTTATATTTAATATTTAGATTTAACATTTATATTTATATTTAGCATTTAGATTTAACATTTAGATTTAGATTTAGATTTAACATTTAACATTTAGGTGCCACATTTAATATTTAGATTTATCTATTTAATATATTTCTAAGTTAACAAATATTGCTGTAAATGTGGTAAAAGGTGATGTTAAAAAATTCACAATACTTTTTTAAACATTGTTTGAAGCTAAATGTGGCAAAATGTTGATGTTATTTTCAGCGTGAGACACTTTACAAACGGCACCCCATATAGTATGACATAAAAAAGGGGAAGCCTCACATTAAAATGTGACAGTCCACAATGATGAAATCGCTCAGAGTCACAGTGTAAAGGTCACGTCCATCAGCACTGGAGCAGATCTTCATCAAATGAGTCTTAAATTTTCTACTTCCTGTTTTTTTTTTTTTTTTTTTTATTTGTGGCTTCAATCATTTTTCTCTAAAGCTTTAGACCTGCCTTTCCACAGACTATTAGCATGCAACTGATTATCATTATCTTTACATGTAACTTAGCTGATGTAGGCCTCATAATTATTTATTTATTTATTTTTTTAAATATAAATGAAAGTTCTTGGTTCAGGGACAACTGTAACAAGGCATTACAACTGTCCCAGCATCACCAGCCATGTTTTCGTCACATGTCAACTGGCCTGACTGCTACTATGACATGTTAGTCATGTCTGTTTTCAGCTTACAAAATACTGACCCTAATAATACTTGTTTGGATCCATAGACATCTGATCTCAGGACAGTATCCAAAAGAAAAGCTACGTTTTACAGTTTCAAATGTGGCTCCTTTTTTGTAAGCAAACAGACAATCTAACTGAGCATGTGCGGAGTGTCATGTCTCACAATTGTACATGGTCTACCCTACTTAAACTGTCATCCTTTAAACAATCTTCATATCTTTATTTATTTCTTGAACTGATTGTATCTTGCACCACTGCACACTTGGATAAAAGACACCCCACACATCATTTACACAACGCTGTAATTCAAGCGTCAGATCAGTGAATGACAGAATCTGATCCCCAGTAAAGATAAGAGACGTCAGCTTGTACATGTCTTTAAACTGCTGCAGCAGCATGTTTTACATTTCACGTTATGTAAAACATACCTCTGCTCAGGTATGTGTCAGTTTATTTAATTTTTAACATTTAGGAGGAGGATGTGATGCTAATAACTTTGCACAAGCAGCCTGTTTGAGTCCAGCGTAAGGCTTCTGGAATGTTGTAGGTGACGCTGACCTGATAGTGAGCTTCACCTGTAATGATTACACAGAGATTACAGAGAGACCGGAGGATCTGAAACCTGCTCTGCTTGTGTGATCAGACATCATCCAGTACAGCTTCAGCTTTAAGCGTGGGGCCCTCTCTTACAGTAAGCCTACCTGAGGCGTCAGGAGAGCTTTTTAAACCGGGATAAATCATTTTGTTTAAGTTAAGATAAGACACACATTTCAACACAGAAACATACAAAAATGTCTCGTAAAGGTACCACAGACAGAAGATTAATCCACAGTAAAGCTTGGCACATGTGTGGCTCTATTATACTGGCAAAATATGCACCTAATATATATGTCAAATATAGAAAATGCCATTAATATATGTATTTTTCAGATTAAGCTGTTAGTTCAGTTGAGAACAAATAGCATTTACACTTCAGCAACAGGCAAAACAACTTTTCACCTGCAACAGTTTCATTTGCCTTTGTGTTTGTTTGGACTGGCAGTGTGGGTTTGGTGACAATAATGACAGTGAGTGCTGAGTGACAGTCAAAGGTGAAAAAAGGCCTGACTAGTTGCACTTCCTCTTGTGTCACATTTTTGGGTGATGACTGTAACACCCAGAGTGAAAGTAGAGCAAAGGGCAGCAGGATGCACAATGTGTCATGTGTGTTTCCTGTGTATGTCGTCACTAGTGGGAGATTCTGAGAGATTGAAATTGCAGTGCGCGCATGTATAGGTAACATATTTTGAATACCTTTTGAATCAGGTTTTTCCAGCTAATCCAACACTTAAGCTCAGTAGTGTCGTCTTGTGCTTTCCCATAGGCCACTTTGTTCATATATTGTACAGTATGCAAACATTTTACCCCATTTTGCCCCATTATAAGCACTGAGTGATATTCAATCAGCATTGAAGCCAAAACCACCTGCTGCTCTGAAAGAAAGGGTATTCCCCTGATAACTCACTGATAACCCTGCATGTGCAGTGTCTAAAACAGCATTCATAATAACAGTCACAGTGACCCCAAGTGGATATGTTGTGTTACTGCAACTTATGACAATGTTTTGCCCATGTCCACTTTCAAGTGAAGTTTCCAGCAAGTAATGAATAATATAAAGATGTAAATGCACAGTGGTGGAAAGTAAAAGTACATCTACTCAAGTAACCTATTGTATTGTTCTGTAAGTACAAATTTAAGGTACTTTTCATTTCTTTACATTTCAGAGGTAAATATTGTACTTTATACTCTGTTACATTTGTCTGAAAGCTTTAGTTAGTTTTCCTCCCCTTCCTGTCCATGTATCTCCAGATGTGCTGATTTTGAATGTCTGTGATCAACAGAAGAATGAAGCCTTCCTTTATGTGTTGAGAAAATCCTCCTACTTGTTAAAGGGGAACACCTCCTAAATTAAGAATTCCAGTATGTTATTTCCACGGCCTCAGAAAATTCAGTTAATATTTGTGAACATGAGCTTCTTACTGCAGCATTTTTGTACTGCAGCAGAAGGCATGGTGATGCAGTGGTTAACATTGTTGCCTCACAGCAAGAGGGTTCCTGGTTTGAATCTGGGGTGGAGGGTTTGCTTGTTCTCTCCCATGTCAGTGCAGGTTTTCTGCAGGTACTCTGGCTTCCTCCCACAGTCCAAAGACATGCAGGTTAACTGGTGACTCTAAATTGGCCGTAGGTGTGAGTGTGCATGCGAATGCTTGTCTGTCTCTGTGTGTCAGCCCTGTGATAGTCTGGTGACCTGTCCAGGGTGTACCCTGCCTCTCACCCAATGTCAGCTGGGGCTCCAACACCCCCGCCACCCCTAACAGGATAAGCGGTTACGGAAAATGAATGAATGAAAATGACTTTTGCCTTTTCATTTTCTCTTACTTTAATGCTCTTAACACATACACCACTCCATCATAGCCATCAGTGCTCCAGCATGTTGTGACTGTGATGATCCCTCACTGATGAACACATAAAGATACCAGGACTAGAGGTGGTACCCTTACTGCCCAGACTGTTATTAGCATTATATCTTCAGATTATTTTCCCCTGACGTTCAATTTTTTTGATTGTAGAAAAAAAAGGCCTGCAATCTGGCTTGCCGCCTATGTCGCCTATAGGAAGGAATCTCACCACCTGGATTCAACGACAGACTTGATGGCTGCAGCTCACTGAAACACTGTGGGAGTGTTCAGATAAGGATGCACACTGAACCCAGTTAAGATATGTTAATCTTGGAGAGGGAGGCAACTCTCGCCACATATCTAGCTTTAGTTGTCTGCACTGCTGCTTTTACATGCTGTTGCTCCTTAGATGTAATTCATATCATAAAACTTAAGCATGTGCGATCCTTTGATTCTGTAAATGACACTTAATCTCATCCTACAGTTTTATTCTTACATACGGGAAGGAATTATCACAAAGAGTCTAGATAGCTTCATTTTGCAGGTTGGGTGCCATTTCAGTTTTTGGCACCCATTCACTTTCAAGACAGAGGGAACAGGCAGGGCGGCTATCGTAAGAACACTCAGCCCTTAAGGGCATCAGTAAATACAAAGTTTTAGTCAAACATGCCTTGTTTGTTCATGATTTGAGAGTGTTTGAAGAGAATTTTTTTAGAGACAAGCACTTTCTCTATTTAGGGTTAAGTTCAATGACAATATCTTAAAAAGGCCAAGAATTTAAATGATATGTTATTGAGACTGCACAAAAAAAAAGAGTGGCACGGACTGCCAAACATCCAGAAATGCTTGTGGGATCATTCTGCTCCTTCTGTCCTATATGTGGCTTAAGAGGAGGGGTTGTTTTCTCAGGACCTTTACCAGAGGGCTGGACTTTGGTGGGACAAGTGGGCTGGCTGCTCTGCCTGCAGGATGAGAAGAAAGGAAAGAAATGGAAAACAGGGAGGGCTGAGTGGGGGTTTCGAAAGACCTTTTCCACCCCTTCTACTCTTTCAATTTATAGGTCCTGCACACACACACCCACACACAGGCACTGACACACACTCTCACACACTCTCACACACACACACACACACACACAGCCCAGAAGGCACAGTCAGGATGTGACATCACCCACAGGAAGAGAAGCCAAACAACTTTTTCTCTCTTTACTGTGTTGTCTGTGCTGCTGAGTGAAGTTGGAGACTCTCGGTCTGTTAGTGGCCGGCAGAGAGGGAGAGGATCCAGAGGAGCCAGAGGGGGCAGAGCAGCTGGAGCTGTCCTCCACGGGGAGTTTATAGCCAAGGGCTCCGGCGCCTGAATCCTCCCTGAACTTCCCTCAACTTTCCACCGCATTCCTTTGCTGTAGGATTTCAGCCAGGTACAGTGCAGACAGCTTCTTTTTTCCATTCTGTAATATCAGTCTTTTGTTATTGATTTCCATCTGCCTTTGTTTCTGGTTACCGTGACTTGCAGTGCCTTCTTTTTTTTCTGTTTCATTTATGTGTTGGGTCCTGAGAGGAGTTTTGTCAGTCTGAGGAGTCACAGGCAAGTTCCAGAAAAACCATGAAAGTATGCCAACAGTGCGTGATCAGACATGCTTCAGTCTGAGGCTGTTGAGGCATGCAGAGAGACATAAAGTGATCAGGACTCAAGTCACTCTGTCCCCATACTGTCACTTTTTGAACAAACTAATACCGTCTTCAATAACGAACAGGTTTCAAGTTTAATGTTTGACTAAAACTGTCTCCCTGAATGGAGCAGTGAGTGACACACTGTAACTATGAGCCCTCCTCAGAAGCCCTTTTGTTATGGACACATTAAGAACTATCTCATGACCACGTATTCATGCTCCCCCAGTGGTGAGTCTTGAACTGAGATCAGGCAGACTGTGAAAGCTAGTGGAAAGAAAAAGTACCCTTCTCATATATCAAACGCTGTGTGCATTTTCATAATAAGAGTGAGCACAACCCAGTGAAACTACAAGGCAGATGTGAGGAGTCTGTGGATTGGGAGTTTTCTGGAATGAGGTAGTGGGTCAACACAAGTTCAAAACAAACCAGCGTATCGGTGCTTGGTCTATTATGTGAGCACAGATGATAATGCAGAGACAGTAACTTCTGCTAATTCGAGTCACAGTGAAACAACCGCAGGAAACGCTGAGGCCCGGCAGTTCAAAATGGGACACAAATGCGGATATAGTATCATGTTGCAACCACAGTCACTTGAATGTGACTCCAGTGTCAAATCTGTGGAAGCAACATACTGTATGAAACAGTCACATTATAACTCAGTGGAGTATAACACAATAAAATGCAACCCTTTCAGTCAGACTGCCCGCCTTATTTTCCTATAATAAGCTACTTAGTTAATATTCAAATATGTTTTATCATTATAACAATAAAGGATTTGGATCACATAACCAGTCACTGAGGGCATGCTCCTGATCAGTGTGTATTATCTGCCAGATGGTTAATAGCTATTAGAAAAAAAAATCACTCCTAAGTACTGTATTGGTTTTGCTTCATATCCCAAGACTCATTTCCCAGAGGTCGCGCTGACACTGTGCTTTTTATTAAGTTGTCATGTTCTGTGCTTTAACACCTAGCTTAAAGGTCCCATTTTATGCTCATTTTCAGTGTCATACTTGTATCTTGGGTTTCTGCGAGAACATATTTTAATGCTTTAATGTTGAAAAAACACATTATTTATCTCGTACTGTCTGCCTGAATATACCTGTATTCACCCTCTGTCTGAAATGCTAAGAAATGCCTGTCTCTTTAAGCCCCCCTCCTGAAAAACCCAGTGTCTGTACCATCATTGCAGCCTGGGAATTAATTATAACGGCACTGTAGTTCCACTTTCTATCTTTATAGGGAGTTCCTCACAAATTGCATCACTAGGCAACAACTTGGGTCCATGTTTACTTCCTGTCAGCTGATTTTAATCACATTGAAAGCAAAGCCATTCAGCAGGAAATACAAAGGGATCCATTTATGTTTCAAGCATAGACTGGTTTCACATTTGAAATGGTCTATAAACTGAATCACCTTGTGTATTTATAATAACTTTCGGATAGAAAACCCTCAGATCATGTACATAGAATCAAACAGCGCTGAGCAAATGCTGCCTTAATTAAGTCATTTTTAGTAACATATGCTTTGAAGCCCTCCGAGGCTAATTTTGATTTGTGATATTGGACTTTATAGATAAAATTTCATTTAAATTGATATGAAAATACTATTTGTACAGCCCTTCGAGGCGTGCTTTGGGCTACAATAAACTTTGACTTGAGTAATGTGAAAAGCACTTTGGGTATGAAATGTGCTATATAATTTAACTTGCCTAGCCTCGACCTTGTGCCTAAAAAACTCAGTATCAGTTTAACTGTGTACTATATTAAAGCCGTCACATCAAATCCACCGGACTCCATTGTCAAAAACAATCATTTTAGAACATGAGCTGCTGGACTATTGCTCGACCAGTATTCAAATATAGAGTAGATTTAAACTAAATTAGATTTTTTGGGAGGTGAGATTTCAGTGGCTAAAATACATTTTGATGAAGCCCCTGTCCTTAGCAGTACATTAGCTTCCATGCTGGTAGATTTGGTTTATTGTAGATGCTAGCAAAGCAACACTGAACAAAAAACCCCATTTATCTTTAAATGTTAAAATTACAGCTCAAAGTTGCATCAAAAATAAGTTTTCACATATCTCTGCAACTCAGAATAATAGCCACTTGTCTACCCGAAAGTGTAAGCATGAGTCACAGTGATTCAGTCTGTTTAGCATAGTTGTGACATCACAACTTCAGTCTTGACAGCTCATAGGCACAGTTTCTGAACATGGACTGTGTGCATATCTCAGTGGAGTGAGCAGTTTGAAACTTTCACAGTATTCATATAGCACCTTTACCTGCTTTATATTAAAATAGACATGGAATCTGACTTTACAATATGGGACCTTTAAAGTTTTGTCATTACAGCATCTACCTTTATACTCTGATGTTCTGAATGAGCAAAGCGAGCACAGTACTGTAGACATTCTCTCTTGAAGTGGTTAACCTTTAGTTTGTCGCAGCACGCCATTCATCTTCTCAACTATGCTTGACTCTAGTGGCCTGAATTTTGCCACAGCTGAGTGAAACCATTTCTAATTTTATCAAAGGATGCCACTGAAGATCTTGTGATATGGTCATCTTGGTCACACAGAGAAGAGGAGGCAATAAAGGCGCGTATGGGATGAACTCGCTGCTTTGTCCTTACTTGGGGAGAAATACAGTTTTCTTTGCACTATGTATTTTGGCTTGCATGAGTCATTTTAATGATCTAGCTCTTGAAAATGTTTGGCTTGGGAATTTTGATGTCATGATTATTTCAGAGTTTGTATGCCCCCTTTGTAAACAATCTGACCATAATATGGTTTGTAGTTATACCTTTGATGTTTTGGTCATATGCAATTTTTGGTCACTCTGGCCTAAAGTGGTGGATTGACAGGAAAGGAATAGGTCTTTGACTTCTCTTGTTGTTGTTCTTCTTCACAGAAACGTCTCACTGTCTGAAAACAAGAGCGCCCTGAAATCTTTACATGACAGACACTGACCCCCTGTGACCTGATTTCCGAGCTCACACCAGCCTGGTCCCATCTCTCAGGAAGGTCACCCTTTATCAAACGCAAAACTCATTATTATTCTGGAGAGCTCATTCTCCCCTTATCTCAGGGGAAGCGGCTGAGTCAATGGCGTTGTGTCTTGGACAAGTGTTCAGCAAAGACAAAACATTCAGGCCGAGGAAGCGGTTTGAACCAGGCACCCAGCGCTTTGAACTCTACAAGAAGGCCCAAGCTTCACTCAAGTCCGGCTTAGACCTGAGGAAAGTGGTTCAGCTGCCGGAGGGAGAGAACATCAACGACTGGATTGCTGTTCACGTTGTGGATTTCTTTAACAGGATCAACTTGATCTATGGCACGGTCAGCGAGTACTGCTCCGAGCGCACGTGTCCCATCATGTCTGGCGGGCTGAGGTATGAGTACAGGTGGCAGGACGGCGACGACTACAAGAAACCCACCAAGCTGCCTGCTCTCAAGTACATGAACCTGCTGATGGACTGGATAGAGTCGCTCATCAATAATGAGGACATCTTCCCCACCAGAGTAGGTGTGTGAGGAGTCTACAAATGAAGGAGTCAGACTATTATTAAGTGTGTAACCTGATGCGTGATTGATTGCTGCCTGCACTGACGTTGTGCTGCATCAATGCTGAAGTGCCAGCCTGGAGTGCAATGCTGTTCCCCTTCATTAACATCCCAAATGAGATGATAAAGTTCGAGCGGAGGTTAATTAAACAGTGACGTTGACATTTAGAGGAGACTGAACGGGTGATTGTGGTGGTATTTTATCTCATCACCAGATTTGACAATCAACATTTATTAGAGTAGAGAATCAGGGAGCATCTCTGTGTGTATTATGCATGATATCCCTCTGGGAGCTAATGCAGGTCAGGTCCGGTGAAATGAAAACTGAAAATTTCCCATAGGTGTAAGTGGGCTTTGTCTATTTGTTAGCCGGAGATAGATTGACCAGAGTGTTTTCCTACCTTTTACCCAGTGTGTGCACAATTCTCCATGGCTTTGAGCAGGAATAAATAGGGACAGGAAATGGAAGATAGAGTAAGCTTAAGATGTTGAATAATGTGCCTTAGTACAGGGATTATCAACGTTGCTTTGTTAAGCATGCCCCACAAAGTACTGCCCTCAACAACCTGGTACCAACCCTGTCACTATAGTCCGTCCAGAAGAAGACTAAATAAGGCTTCAAATTTAGCCTAAATTTTGGCGAGGGAACAACAGTTATGGCCAATCTCAAAGGGGTCCCTTGAACTCACACCATAAGATATCTGAATGATTTGGATTCTATGGGTGCCCATGAGTCTCCCCTAAATTTGAAGATGCTTGTTCTCAGTACAGGGCACCATGGTGGTGTGGTGGTCACTGTCGCCACACAGCAAGAGGGTTTCTGGTTCGATCCCAGGTGTGGGAGCCCTTCTGTGCGGAGTTTGCATGCTCTCCCCGTGTCAACGTGGGTTCTCTCTGGGTACTCCGACTTCCTCCCACAGTCCAAAGACATGCAGGTTAAATTTAAATTGTCCATAGGTGTGAATGTGAGCGTGAATGGTTGTCTGTCTTTCTGTGTCAGCCCTGCGATAGTCCGGCGACGTGTCCAGGAGTGTACCCTGCCTCTCGCCCCATGTCAGCTGGGATAGGCTCCAGCCCCCCCGCGACCCTCAAGAGGAAAAGCGGTTAGAAAATGGATTGATGGATGTTCTCAGTACATGTTTTGTTCCTTACAATCAATGTACTCCTTTTCATTTAAGCTGTATACTTGTCTTTCAAGAAAAAAATGACCAACCTATGTTAACAGTATTAGTCTATGCACATCAGATAACATTACCTGTAAAATTAGAAACCAAAGTATATCAGTATGAGATTCTTACCTAGCTTTCAACTCGCCTGTGTATTTCAACAGCATAATTGAATTCCTAAAATTCAGTACAGGCTTTTGGGTTTGGTGCTACCCCAAGATTTTCAGTGGCCACATCTGGCCACCCCTATGGCACATTTCTGGGGAAGCCACAGCACCCACAGCTCCCTAAATTACCAAGTAGTAAAAGAGAGTATTTCAGCTACAAGATGCTTTTATCAGTCCTCTTTGACAACAAGCATAAAGGCACCTTTTAGACTGACAGGCCTCACAACTGAAATTTGTGTGGTTATCAATTTTTGAAGAAAAGTGCAATAGAGTATTAAGTTGAACATCCTGTCTTTTCCCTTTTATGTCACTTTTATGTACCTGAAAAACGGCTGTGCTCAGAGGAACTCATATTACTTACAGTTTCAGAAAATGATAACATCTTTGTTTCAGATTTAATCAAACAATTTCTCAGGTGGAAGTCTATTCACGTCTGTAACACGCTTCTCCTTTCTTCACACTAGGTGTACCTTTCCCGAAGAACTTCCAGCAGGTGTGCAAGAAGATCCTGAGCCGCCTCTTCAGAGTGTTTGTGCATGTTTACATCCATCACTTTGACAGCATCTGCAGCATGGGTGCCGAGGCCCACATCAATACCTGCTACAAGCACTACTACTACTTCATCTCTGAGTTCAACCTCATTGATCACTCTGAACTGGAGCCCCTGGTGAGAATATAGCACAAGCTCAGATGTTCGAGGGTGATGACAGGGAGCAGGAGAAAGAGGATCAGATAGATGTTTTGTGTTGGGAGGATGTCAGTATCACTCTCATAACTGTCAGTCTTGCAGAAAATATCAGCCATCCTGCCATCTATAACCTTGTTGTGCAGCATGCTTGGTGAGATTATCCTCATGTCAGTGTGTGTTCCCTGGCTAGTGCACATGCAGCACAAAGAAAATAACCACAGATTTTGTCTTCTGAAGCTGCACTGACTGTATGATTTCCCTGAGATAACAATACTTTTCCATTTGACACCAAGAATGGAATCAGCATTCACTTTCCCCCCAATTTTCCATCATGAAAGAAACTCATTAACTGCTTTATAGAAATTGGTTTGAAGCAACAACTCTCATAAGAAAAGTTACTGACTTTGTGCAATCATGTAATGAGGCAGAGTTTGTGTAGTTGTTGCTTTTTTTCCAACAAAGGGACCTCCATCACATATGAGCAGATGGAGAACGGTGCTTCAAGCGTCAATAAAAGGCTTCAGTTATCATCATTATGAAGCCCGGGCTGCGTAATTCCCCTCGTAAAGCAAAACGAGGATGAGAAATTTATGTCAACACGCCGCAGAAAAGGTGAATCTTGTAAACAGACCCTGTTTTATTGTCCCACCTTTAGTGCCCAAGGCGATTCTTTTTGTTGCTGGTCTGATAGGAATAACAGCTTTGTTTCACACAATAAGAAATATTATTCCTCATGATAACAGTATAGATTGCACTTCATAACAATCATTCACCTCCTCGTACAATATGAATCTGATGTGTTAACCATGTCCTTTGTTTTCTTCTCCTACAGAAAGAGATGACAGAGAAGATATGCAATTAAACAAATCCACATGGACAAAAGGAGTTTACATTTTCATGTTATCTGAGCCCTGTGAGAAATCTTCGGCTTCAAAACACTCAAAACAAAGAACGCTTTTACATAAAGTTGTGTGAGTGATTTTCTGAACATAACTGGGAGGGTCCACTAACATAACCACACCTCTTCAGCTGGTGGCACTGTGCCTTCATAGAAGTTTTTATTTACAGTAACTGTGGCGCTTGATGCCATCATTATGTAGGACTATGTGTTGGTTTATAATACATCTCCTGTACTCATGCCTTTTCTCTCTTCCTCACTGTGCATGTATGTTTGTGTTTGACCTTTTTATATAGTGTTGTCTTGTTTTGTTGAATGAAAGTTTGTACTTTATTTGATGTTTTTTATGGTTTGAACATAAAAATACAGTACAAAAACATTGTTATTATCACGAATGGATTACTGAATGGGCCTACTGGGCTAGGGCCAAGGGTCCGAAAGTGTCAGGGGCCCCCTGGCCTTCATCTGCAATGTCACAAAAAATTAACACGAACAGATCAGAAAGAGACTCAAAATTACCACAAAGAGATGCAAAGAAACTTTAGAGACACAAAATAACTAGAAAAATGTGCAAAACAACCACAAAGAGACACAGAATGACTACAAACTGACACAAAAACTAAAACAAACTACAGGGAGACACAAAATAACCAAAAAGACTAAAGAAAGTATCTCAAAGAGACACAAAATGACCAAAGGACACACTAAATTACTTCAAAGAGACACAAAATGACCAAAAGATACACAAAACTACCGCAAACAGACACAATGACGAAAAGAGATGCAAAGGAACATCAGATATATAAAATAAATACAAGAATGGACCAAACAACCAACAAAGAGACACAAAATGACTACAAACTGACACAACACAACTACAAGGAGACACAAAATGACCGAAAGAGACACAAAATGACCAGAAGACACACAAAATTACCTCACAGAACCACAAAATGACTAAAAAGACACATGAAATGACCTCAAAGAGACAAAAAATGTCCACAAAGACACATGACATGAGCTCAAAAGACACACAATGATGAAAAGAGATACAAAGGAACTGCAGAGATACAAAATAACAAGAAATACAGGCAAAACAACCACAAAGAGACATAAAATGACTACAACCCGACACAAAACAACTACAAGGAGACACAAAATGACCAAAAAGACACACAAAATGAACTCAAAGAGACACAAAATGACCAAAAGATACACAGATTTACCTCAAAGACCCACAAATTGGCTAGAAAGACACACAAAATGACTTCAAAGAGACACAAAATGACCAAACAGACACACGAAATGACCTCAAAGATACACAAAATGACCAAAAAGACACACGAAATGACCAAAAAGACACACAAAATTACCTCAGAGAGACACAAAATGACCTTAAAGGCACATAAATCGACTACAAAGAGACAAAACTACATGGAGATGCATAACGACTACAAAGAGATGCAAAACCACCATAATCTTAGTGTCTCGCTCCTATGCAGGAGATGTGGTGGGGCCTTTTGCATATCTGAGCCGAGGGGCCCATTGTCTTATCATTTGCCCATGGTTATGATTTTGTTTTCATTATGTAAGCACTGTATCACTTAAGTTAGATGGTAAATTGACAAGATTAATACTTATATATATCTTTTTTAATCACATAGGCCTATTTGCATTTAAAGTTTGGTCTGCTGCACAGGCTGTTAGTTTCAGTATAAAACCTCCACAGACAGACATACTTCACCAGACAAACCAACACAAGGAGAATCAATGAACTAAATAAAACAGTAATGATGAAATACTAAAGGTATGTGGCGTGAGCCGTACTTCCTCTTGTCATAGCTGACCTGCCAAACCTCTGCATCTGTAATTAAATGTCCTCATAATGCACAAAAAATCCCCACTACGTGGACGGGGGTGTGGCGGGGCAATAAGAAAAGTGACGTTGCATTGCCAGTCTCATTCTCGACCAATGGGAGAAGGGGGTATGCAGAAGAGGGCGGAGCAAACGTCTGTTTATGTGCTTTCCCGCCGTGTGCGTCACCGTCTGTCTGTGTGATGGATTCCAGCTAGCAATGGGTGCTTACATCAGCTGTGAGGGGCTTTGACAGAGAGGATCTGGATGGTTTGGACACAGAATCAAGGTAAGAAGTGTTTATATTGCATTTATGTTTATGTTTTAACGACACTCGACCGGTCTCTAAACACAAACCAGCGAATGGACGTTATTCGGCAGGAGAAGCTAGCTAAGGGTACTTGCTAGCTAGCCGGGGCTAACGACAATAACATCGGATTATACAGTCAGCAGTGGACGCTGTTTGTTTTCTAATAATCGGGTGAAACATTTATAACGTTACATTGTTCGCTCTTGTTAAGGACACCTTGATATTTGTAGCAACTATGCTAATGTAAGCAACGTTATTGACGTGGCTATTGTTAGCTGCGGTATTGGCTGTCGGTACACACTTGCTAACTAAGTTTCAGGACATCAGCTGTAAGCTATATGTCTCACTTTCAGCTGTTATAACGCTGGATAATATAGCCAAATGCTAACTAACAGACGACTTATGCATACCTCTTACTTGCCGGAAGGCTAAAGCTAACCTAACTTGAACTCTGTGGCTAACTGTCACTTTTGTGACATTAGAAGGGGAAAGAAAGAGGAAGTTACACGTCAAGTTAGGGCAGGATACTAATGAACCTTTTTGCTTTTTCATTACTCGCATTCTTTGACTTCCTACCACTTTGTTGTACACTTGTTATTGTGTATATTTACGTCTCTGCTGGTGCAGTTTGTTCCAGACTAACTCAGTGTTTGTGTTGCCCTCTTAGTTGGCAGACATGGTGAGGCACAGCATGATGACAGAGTTGCAAACCTTCCAGCACTCTCTCCAGGTAAGATGTGAGCTGTTGATGTTGCTGATTTCAAAACCTTTTCACTTCCTGAGACGTGGTAGATAAGACCAAGCTGCCAGGAAGCCGCCAGCAGACTGTCAGAGTTGTCTGTACAAACTTGTAGAAGTTTCGTCATTCCATGAGTCATGCACTGTAACTGATTGTGTAAATGCTTCTGGGAATATCCAGGGAGAGATGAGGCCTGTCATGTTGTTTCCTGTATTCTCATCAGGCCACGGTTTTGGCAGGTTGCCACTGGGGGAAGATAAGATAAGCTAGGTGGTAACAGGTAGTTCTGTCTAATTACACTGGGTCATTGTTTTGTAAAAGAAAGTTTTATCAACAATATGTTTTACTGTGTGGTCGACTGTTTCACAAGTGTTTCAGAAATTTGGGTGAAAGTCTCAATGTTTCGCAATTTAACACTGAAAACAAAGAGGAAGAACTATGTATTCCCTCTTGTGGTTTCACTACTGAATAACCAACTGATCTCTGTTGCTACTCTCGCACTTTCCCCTCCCTTTTCCCCTTCCATGTGGCCTCCTTCTCCCTGTTACAGGGTAACTCCCTGGCTGTGGGCCAGGTGGGGCAGAGCTGTGGGGGAACTCAGGAGAACAGGGTCACTTCAGTCGAGAGACAGCACCTTTCCCAGGGCCCAGCAGGTACAACGGCTCTATAATTCAGAACAGCTCTGGAGCTACTGAAACTTATGGTGCATACAGTAACACACCGGTAAAGTCTGTGCTGTTTTAACTAATTTGCTTGCCTATGGCTTCTTTTGTGTTGCTACAGAAATTGAGAAAAGCCAGCCAGTGAACATCCCAGATGCAGCTAAAAGAAAAAAGAAGAAAAGAACCAGAGCGACAGACAGCTCCACTGGCACTTTTGATGGTAATGACATTATTGTGAGACACGAAAAATAAAAAAAACAACTCCACAAGCACCTACTGCAGTCTCATATGTCCCATTTTCTCCAGATCTTTACAAACTAACAGATGAGGTGCTCGGCCAGGGGGCTTATGCCAAAGTTCAAGGATGCATAAGTCTGCAGAATGGACAGGAGTTTGCTGTAAAGGTGAGTAAGGATATTTTTCAGTTAACAGAGAAAGGGCCAGGACATATGCCCCATAATTCATAGTCTGAAAAAGGTGTGCTCAGGCACTGGGTGTTACTCTTGCAGCTACTCTGTGCCAACTGCCAAAGGCGAAGAGGCAGGTTGTGTCTGAAGTTTTTAACATAACCAGCACTGCATTATGACCTACTTACCAGAAATGCTTAGTGCAGCTATTATTTTAACTGTGTTTTAGGCCTAAAATGATATCTGTGGGACAGATGTAAAGCTCTGGGTAGCCCTGCACTAAAATGATCAACTTCTCCATATTTACCATAGACTAATATTTACGGAAAAAAATAAATATCTGACGGCTGTGACCTACTGTCCCTTGTCACATGACATGCTGTGCATTGCGGCACTCCAACAGTTAAACTTTTTGTGATGTCAGAGGGACAGCCGTTGTGCCCTGAACAACAGGCGCTTGCAAACACTTGCGTACCACAAAAGCAACACTCTTGCTTTTGAGCGTGTCTTCCTTGCATCTGTATTGGAAACAATGGATTTGTTGGCACAAAAAACGCAGCATGTGTTGGTGCCTAAGACATTTTTTGTCATTAAGATTAAGAAAATGCTGGGACAACTTGTAGGATGTTGTTTTGTGTCAAGGATCTAAAATGTGTACCAAATTAACACTACTTTTAGCAATAGCTGTACCTGATAGAGAGCCTTGACGAGAAAGTTGTGAAAATAGTTCTGGTAAAACATTTGGCGTACCTTTAAATAAATCATGCAAGGGTTTACATGAATGCTCAGACTTTTGAGAAGTTTGAATTTTTCCAAGTTTAATGTATGACATGTATAATATGTTCTGTTGTGTTTTGTTTTTACACAGATCATAGAAAAGAGCGCAGGGCACAGCCGCAGCAGGGTCTTTCGAGAGGTGGAGACTCTGTACCAGTGTCAGGGAAACAAGTGAGTAATTTCTGTCAGACATTTTTTAACTTAAATAAAACCAACACAAAATGAAACAGATTCTAATCATTGGAAAATCTCCTGATTTAGAAACGTCTTGGAATTGATCCAGTTCTTTGAAGACAACTCCTGCTTTTATTTGGTGTTTGAAAAGCTGCGCGGTGGTAAGTATAAATGAATACCTCAACAGTTACACCATCTACACACGCTTGGCTTTTCAAATGACCCTTCATAAACACAGTAATTGCTACAAGCGATTGTTTTCTCTTCCCTCAGGCTCCATTCTGACACACATCCAGAACAGGAAGCACTTTGATGAGTTGGAAGCCAGTAAGGTAGTCAGGGACATTGCCCAAGCTCTTGACTTCCTCCACACTAAAGGTAGGTCAACATCCACACAGCTATCATATGAAAGTCAAGGGTAATAGCTGTGGCTTTGTTTTATGTTGTCATGGTTACAATGTGCTTTTCTACAGGCATTGCCCATAGAGACCTTAAGCTGGAGAACATCCTTTGTGAATACACAGATCGGGTAAGTGATTTTTAAAGGACAGGAAGCTTTTAGAAGGACATTAGTTGTTCCTAGAGAAATAGAGCACAGCAGTTTAATATTTCTCCTCCATCTCTTGACTCAGGTGTCCCCAGTAAAGATCTGTGATTTTGACTTGGGAAGTGGAGTGAAGCTCAGCAGTGCCTGCACGCCCATAACAACCCCAGAGCTCACAACACCGGTAACAGTCTAGTTTTAATTTCATGGCACAGACACATACAAACAAACAAGATCAGTGTGATGGATAACAGTTACGTGGCTCTTCCTGTGTTTTTTTTTTTTTTTTGTCCTCTCTTAGTGTGGCTCAGCAGAGTACATGGCTCCAGAAGTAGTGGAGGTGTTCACTGATGAGGCCTCTTTCTACGACAAACGCTGTGACCTCTGGAGTCTTGGGGTCATCCTCTACATCCTGCTGAGCGGCAGCCCTCCTTTCACAGGCCACTGTGGCACCGACTGCGGCTGGGACCGTGGAGAAACCTGCAGAACCTGCCAGGTATGTTTACCCAGTCAACATCTGAGTGTTTACATCCTACAGTGTTTACAGTGGATGTGAATGAAAGTACAGAAATGGTTGGAATGTGAAAGGGGTAGGGGGGGGGGCTTCTGAACCTTATGAGACTGTCCGACAAGCACCTCTGGTGGATATACTGGCCCTTGTAGTATGTTATGATAGGAAACTGAATATATATGGGTTTTGGACCGTTGGGCAGACAAAACATGACATTATAGATGCCACCTTGGACTCTGAAAACTTGTAATGTGCATAAAGTGCAGTTACATATTATGCATATTGTATAGTAGGGTTGGGCAATATGATGGTATATACCGTGCAACAGTAGAAATGTATCCACAAGTATAGATTTGGCAAAACTGTTTCTACTGCAGGGGTAGCAAATCAGGGCCGGATATCCGCGTAATCTTGCGATCTCACAATCTCACGAACCTAGCTGTCACGCAAGGTGATAGGCTCGTTCGAGATAAACTGCGCTTCGCGTGGAAAGTACATGATATCGGGCAGCGGCCAGGGGGCGGTGAAAACTGCAGTCAAATCAAACTGTTTCCTACAAAGATGCTCCATTTCCAGCTGCCTTCAAAACGTCGTCACAGAAAATATTTACATTCTTTTAGATCCATCTATAGGTTACCTGTAGTTAGCAGACCATGTATTATTATTACCATCATCATCATCATCATCATCATCAACAACAACAACAACAACAACAACAACAACAACAACAACAACAACAACACATGTTTGTTAACAGATTAAACTTTAATTGCACAACTCAACTCAATTCACAAGTTTATTCACAAAAAACAGATAGCGAAAAAGTACATGTACAATTCATAAGAAATAATGGAGATGTGAAATGAAACACCCTGATAAGCTATTGAAAGCTTGAGAGTAGGGGCCCAGACATGACGCAAATTGTACTTTAAAATGTATTTATGAACATGTCGCCTAGATTTAATAAAGTGTATATAATATACAGTAACATCTATAATCTACACTACTCCTAAGACTAACCTAATGCTAACTACTGAATGGTCCCAAGACATTTATTCCTTAAGTTTAAACATTGGTTTACAGGTGAGATAACATAAGTAGAAACACAAGTGGAAATAACAGTACACTGTAAATGGCAATGAGTGTAACTGGTTTAACAACATGAGACTAACAGCCTACAATCCAGCGTTAAACAATAATTTACACAGAAAATTGGCATTTTCTACAAAACGTAGTGTTTGTGGTTGAAGCTAAGAGTCAATCAGCACACTCTGTGGGTGACAGCCAGGTGTTTCCCATCATGCCCTGGGTCTTGCAATTAGCAGAGAGTAACTGTGGTGCTTCGCTCAAGAAACTGAGTCCACTGCAATCTCGTAAGGTTATCGGTGCCCACAAGTCGGACACAAATCTAACCAAAATGCATTGTGCGGCAATCACCGTTAAGCGATTCCACTCAGGCCTGGCTCATCTTGAACGAGTCTAATGTGATTTGGACATACATGTAGGAGGAGAGTGAAGTTATAAATACAGAATCCAGAAACACTTAAAATGTGATGAAGTATAGTATGGTTATTTTAATGATATATTACACATACTGTAACAGAAGATTTTGCCCACCTCTATGGTATAGCTATTAATAAGATAGTGTATTCACTATAAATAATGTTTGCCTGCTACATTCAGACTGTGTTGCTCAACAGTATTCATAGTACATGTGCCTCTTGGTTTAGTCACATCTTATCTAAGTGTATTCTTAATACCACTGGGAACAAAAAGCAGGAGTGTGACTGTATAGATTGATTTAGGTGTGACTGCACCTGTAGCTCTGGACATGAATTGTTCTCCTCTGTTGTCACCTGATTATTATCTGAGTCCAGGGTTAATGTTTAACCTCTCCTCGAGTGGCTCGTGACATTGGAGGAGCAGCATTCAGTCAACATGAGACGCACATGCAGGCACTGTAATGCTTCAGCATGACAGCTCAACAGTTTCACAGGATGATGTGTTATATTCTGTCCACAGAGTCACCTGTTTGAGAGCATCCAGCAGGGGAAGTATGAGTTTCCAGACAAGGACTGGGATCACATCACAGAGGGGGCCAAGGATCTCATATCCAAGCTGCTTGTTCGGGATGCAACTCTGCGCCTCAGTGCTGCTCAGGTCCTCAAGCACCCTTGGGTGCAGGGGGTGGGTATCATTACACGTGTGCACTAGAATAGCTGTACCGTCTGGGTACTCTAATATTATCTGATACAAGGACCACTGTATCCAGGGTTCCCACAGATCCCTAAAAAGTCTTAAAGGGCACTGGCTTCATTGATCAGAAAATGAGGGCATAATCCCTGGATCTTGTTTTTTGTACGTTTACCTGCCTGACCAAAGAGCTCCTGTCAGACCAGCCATCTGAGATCTATCTTAAAACCCAGTTCAGACCAAAGATTTGCGACAAGACAGAACTGTTTTAGAACGTTGCAGCAGTGTGAGCTGGCCGGTCTGCGCTCGACTCAAACTGGCTGGTGGTGTCACCTGCAACTCAGCTGGTCAAATCGCCGATGGCTGGTTTTAGAACGCAAAGCACATCACCTATTTCAACAGCCAGCTGGCTTGTAGTGAAATCCGCTGGTCAAGTCATAATGACTATAGATGACGTCCATCCCTGTTTTCTTCAGTTTTGGTTTGTGAAATTGGTCTTTACTTTCTTTCCGTGTGGCATTTAAAAAGTCTTAAACCCAACTAAAAAATTTTAAACACAACTTTAAAAAGTCTTAAACTCAACTACCAGGACCCCTGGTATCATTCATTCATTGCTGTTTCTATTTTATTTTTAATTGATTTCAAGTTAAATATTCATTTTCTTTTTTTTACAGAACGCTCCAGAGAGAGGTCTTCCAACTCCTCATGTTCTACAGAGGTATGACAGTCAGCTTAAAAAGTCATGTCAAATATATTTATGAAGTTTATCAGGTGTTTTAAACAACACTGAAGTATTTTAAAATGCTCTACAGAGAGAGTAAAGTCAGATTAAAGCAATCGGCTCAACACAACTGCATTATTTTTCGACAGGACAGTAGAGCTGATGTGTTTGGTGTGAAAACGTCTGATTGAGTGAGAAGAGGCAGGGTTGAAATGTGTAAACGGTACAAAAAAACACATGCAACCATCCATTAAATCCTCCTCTGCCTCCTCTCTTCCTGCAGGAACAGCAGCACCAAAGACCTGACCCAGTTTGCAGCAGAAGCCATCGCTTTTAACCGGCAGCTATCCCAGCACGACGAGCAGCAGGAGGATGTCGGAGCCATCGTTTGCTCCATGAGGCTTTCTCCTCCGTCCAACTCCAGGCTGGCGCGCAGACGGGCGCAGTCCAACGCCCTGCGCACCACGGACTTCACACCCACATCGGATGACCTCACAGCATAAAGGACCAGCACAAGTCCCCTCGTCGTGTTTTTCGGACTGATTTTAGCCTTTGCATGCTCCTTGTGTGTGTGCTTTTTGTTTTCACGGGGAGCCTTGTAGGATCAGTCACACAGTATCAGAAGTGACTAACTGTTCTTGGTGTCTAAGCTCTTTCCCATGGCCAGTAATCTCAGCACCTTGACAGAGTTTGGGCACCAAGGGGACAGTTAATCATCAGCTACCACCTCCTGATTGAAAACAGTTGAAACTCCTGAGATTTGTCCAGGAAATACTTTAAGCTTTTAAATTTGAGAATAGCTTTGGGTTTATTTTACAGTTAGTCTTAATAATAATAAATAATTGTATTTATTTTCCTTTCAGTGATAATGAAATTTCTAATGACCCCAATACAGCAAAACTGCTCCTAATGGCAGCAGTGTATTAAATATCATCAGCACATATCAATATCAACATCAACACAGATTTACATGGGTTCAGCACAGTTTTGCGGCTGATGAGGTCCTAATGCAAAATCATCTAATATGAGATTTTATTTTTCTTGTTGTCCAGCTGTGAATTGGTTAATAATATTTAATGCAAATGCTCCCTATTGCTTCTCAGTCACTGGAGGAAAGGGATAAGTTCTCTTTTATTTTTGCTTTTTAAAGCAGGTGATCAGATGTGTGTGGATGTATGTGGTTTAAAATATAAAACATGATACACTTAGAGGAGACTGTCCATCTCTGAAAATGGCTTTTCTCCATTTGACCTTTTTGTAAAGTCTTGTCGAGGCTACGTAGAACGTACAGGAAGTGCAGGAATGTGAATGGATGATGAAGTTAGAGAAAACCCTTTGATCAAATCATTGTTGTTGTTTTTTTAAATTTAATTCCCAGCTTTCACTTCAACTCAAGCTACCTGTAGCACTGATGTACTTTATGATAAGTCACTTATTTAGTTTATCTGAAAGGGAGAATCTTCCATCGTTAATCGGTTTGGTCTAACAATGTGAAATCGACAACTACGGTAATATTTATCTTTTAAGGGGTTTTATCAGTTTTTTATCCTCATTAGAGTCCAGCATTACCTCAGGCTCTTTTTTTTTGCACGTTTTGTACTGTACCAATGTAACACCAACCCAAAAAGACTTTCTTAGTGTCTTAATGTCTTATGGGTTTGATATCTCAGAGTGTTTTTAGTCTGAATGACTTGAAATGTGAGAAGTGTTTGGTTGTATGTGAAGCTAATGAGAATAGTGGATGTTACACTTTGTAATAAGATAAGAGGATTCCATTCTGGGGTTGAAGGGATTTATTTTTATACAAGTATTTGTATATTCAGTTTTATAGTTTTGGTTTTGTGACTGCTAAGACTTCTGTCTTAGATTTTCTCAAGTCCATCAAGTTGCTGATATTTACTTAGTTTCTTTTCACTTTTGTCTTTGTTTAACTCATTACAGATGCTGTCTGTGTTTGAACGAGGTCACCAATGGCAGTCTGGCACCTCTATTTCCCCCTAACCCTATTAACTTTATGTGTTGCCTGCTAAACGACATGTCCCCTGATTTCACACTGTTGCCATGGACACCCCATCCCTATAGCAACACAGGGCCTTCATAGGCTGGCGTGGAATTGACAGAGATTTGCTCAGAGTGAATACACACATTAGGGAAACAACCACTTGCTATGTTAAAGCTCACTCCTATTATCAATCATAAAAAGACTTGTTTGTTTCCCCCCCATCAACCTGTAATGGCGTCAAATGAGATACAGTAATTGGTGCGCAATTACGGAGTCCTACTGAAATTTGTTAAAGCTCTTAAGGGGTCCTATGCATAAAGCTCTGAGCGTGGAGCATATTTTCACTGGTATGCTGTGTTCTCAATAAAAAGATCTTTAGCATCTACTCCTGTCTCATCTGTGGTCCGTAAATTAATCAATGTATTATTTATCCATTTAATGCAAGATGTTATTACGGTGTGTTGAGCAAATGGGTTTCTCTTCCATAGGAGTAAAGGAGGTTTTTCATTCAGTGAGGTTCTTTTGTACTTTGTATTGAAGGCTGAGTGGAAGGCGAAGGAACAGGAAGAGGATGTGATTAACCTGCACAGACGCTGAGGAGATAGCATCCCTCTGGCAGCAGCTTTGTCCTTGTTGAGACTTATTTTAAAGCAGAGGAAAGGCGTTTATATCCAGATTACCGGAAGCTTTTTAAGATCCTAAAAGACCAAAACAACAAAAAATATTATGAGTAAATGGATTTAACCCTTTAATGCTCTCATTAGAAATAGCAGTGGATTATCTTTTTTTTGCATTTTGAATTTTTATTTTTCTGTATCACTGGGGCAATATATAATTTTTTTTTTTTTTTTTTTTGCATTTTGAATTTTTAAAATTTCACTGGGACAATGAAAATTATAATGATTTTTTGTTTATTTTTTGTATTTTGCTGGGGCATTTTTTTTACAGAGTGCATCAAATACAGGCCTCTACCAATATTAAACAGAAAGAAAAAAATTGGAATCACAAACCATAAAATCATGTACTGTTAAAACATTGGAAACACATTACTTTACCAACATATACCAATTTGTTCCCATGGAATTAGTAATATTACCAGTACTAGTGATATTTCCATATGTTTATTCTAGATATTTGCCGTAACATTACTTTGAAAACATCTAAAAAATGTAAAAGAAATTATACTGATAGATTTTTTAAACAAAGATACATAATGGAATAACTTTAAACATATGATTTTAACAACAGTGAAAATTAATTGGTTTAATAGTTTCATAAAAATTGTAAAATTATTATGTTAGTATCACTAACTTAATCACAAAATGACCACTCATCCGTTTGGTTGACAGTGTTGGTGAGGTTACTTTTAAAAAGTAATAGAATACAGATTACTAGTTGCCCTGTTTAAAATATAATAAGTAGTCCAATGTAACTATTTTAATTACTTTATTAAAGAAAGGAAACATGACTTTTTAATTACTTTTCTAACACATATTTTAAACAGCTGAAAAATGGAAATAAACTATGCCAAAAGAAGGCATTCCTGCATGTCGAAAGATGCAAAGCAGCAGAATAAATGTTAAGTTCCACTTAAAAACTTTTTAAGGAAAAATAAATGTTTGAATGAGACCACTTTTGTAATCAACATTTTGATTAGTGACTGGAATTTAATCACATTTTTTCAGTAACAGTATTTAATTTAATTTAATTTAATTATTTTTCTTTTTTTTTCTTTTTATTTCTCAACATTGTTGGTTTAGCATGGTTTTTGAGTGGCTTTAGATATAGAAAAAACAAAGGCATACGCTATTATTGCTATTATTTTTTTCCATCATAACAAAGCTAAACTCAATGGTAGCGAAAGTTCAGTGACGTTGAGTTAAGCTTAACATATTTTTCAAGAGTGACTCAAAATGTGCCCTAGCAAACACTTTTCATGCTCTTTCATATTTCTCTGACATAATTTACGTTAGAATATTCTGATCAGCAGCAAAGCTCTCAGCTATAAATAAATGGGTTCCAATCTACACAAATTAGGTGACTGCGATTAAAGTCATGTTGTGCCTTTGTGCCAACCAGCCCCATCATGAGGTTGGCTGACACACTATGAAGCAACCCATGGAAACAATTTGAACATTTAATTCAAACAAGCACCAGAAAACATGAAAACATTTTCAAGCAATGTATTAAAGGAATGTTACTTTAGCTATGACCATTCAAAGTAACAATTATTAATTAACAATATAAACATTGTTTTTAATCTTTTCAAATACTTTAATGCCTTTAAATGAACCCTGCTCACTCTGGACCCAGTTTCAGTTATCTCAACCTTTAAATCTTACATCAAAATGTAGCTGATTCCCTTGTATATTAAAAAGAAGTAACACATTTCTAATATTTCTAACACAGTTTTGTAGTAGGTTTAGTCCACAGACCACTTTTTGGATAGGCTCATATGTTACCTTTAGGCCTACCAAAAAAGTTACTGACTCACATATTTTAACATAACAGATATGCACAGGTCAAGAAAGCAACATTTTAATGTTGCACTGATGTTTCTGTGACCTTCAAAAGACCAGGAAACAGGCTACCTGTTGTGTTTCTGCTGATTTATGAGAGATTTCTCAGTCTATCAGATGCTGATTTATTCAGTGCACAAAAGCTTAAACTTCACTGCCGCCTATTAGCCTGGACTGTTTGTTTCAGAGCCCCGCAGCGCCCCCCATGGGCCATGCTCATTATAATCTGTGGTGTGTGAGCAGCGACTTCACTCCGCTGTTCACTTGCTGGAGGGAGTGATCTCCTCCAACTCCGCGACTCCTGCACAACATGATGGACATACCAAAGACAACAAAACGGGAAGAAGGTTTATGGGTCTGATCTAAGGTAGGTGACTCTGAGAATGGTGCTGTAAATGTTGCTGTGTGGTTGTTTTCGGGTTTTCTTGGTGCAAATTGTCTGCACGCCTGGAAGCGTGACCAGCAGTGAGGGTTTAATGACAGTATTATTAGTTATTGCTCTGCGTGCATTGCATTGCGTTGTTTATTTCTGTTTGCATGTGGAACTCCTTCTCAGTAGTAGCATTTTAGGAATTACCTTTGGATTTATAGTGAAATAATTAATATTAGAAAAAGATTTAAAGTGTATAAAAGCTATACAACCTCTGAAATATATCTAATTTGCTCTTCCTCTTCAGCCCCTTCCTCCTCATCTCTGTAAAGTGATGAACCCAGTGATCAGTCAGTCATCTGATCTCCATCATCTCAGGGTCTCACAGAGCTCTCCATGAGACATGGTGCTACCTGACAAAACCTCCAGACCATCTGCCTCCAAGAAGGTCCCCAAGCAGCGGGCCCTGGGGCACCAGAGCCTTCCCTCCCCGGCCCTGTGCTGCGCCTGTGGCCTGTGCATCATGCTGGCTGGCATCAACATCACCCTGGTGGGAGCCTTTGCCTTTGGCACCTTCGTCCCTACTGGCAACCCCCCCATCATCATCGGGCCTCTCCTTCTATTGATAGCCCTGGCCTTCTTCACAGCGTGCTGCGTGGTCAGCAGGAGGCCCCCAGCCCACATGGCCCGCACGGCCAAAGGAGGCGAGAAGTGGGGGCTGATGCGAATGGGGACAGCAGCGTTTGAGATGGAGACCAGTGAGCACACGCTGCAGGACACCACCGCTGTCCAGCTCAGCCCCACCAACTCCCCCTCCACCTCTCACAAGTCCAGCTCCAGCCACGGGGGTGATGCTGCTCCTCCGCTTGCTGGCTGCCAGGATGGAGCCGGTAAGCTGCACGTGTCAGAGATGTCTGACATAGGTGTCACTGGAGATAACACCACCTTGACCTCTGACAGCAAGGCCATCACTGCCACACAGATGCTGCCTGCTCTGAACACTTCGTCTACGTAGCGTGGACTCTCCTCTGCAGCCCGGCTGTTTGCTTCAGTGTTTTGATGTTTACACGATGGAAATGTTTAGTGTGATTGCCAACACTGATTGGCATGTTTAAAAAGAAGACTACAGATAGAATGACGAGCAGATTGTCAGATTCTAAACTGTGAAAACTTCCCTGATTGTAACTTATTCGCTGTGTTATGCTGTTGAATGTTTAGCTCAGTCCCAGGATGCACGTTATATTCCCACAACACAAACAGTAACAGGAGATGATACCTTAATCCAAGTGCCTGTTTGTATACTTCTCATTGTATTAAACATCCAGTTAAGACAGATAATCCCGCATTCATGTGGATCCACTGTGGTTAGCACTTATCAACCTACGTTGGGAAAGCAGATGTCCAGCCAAGCTTTTCTGAGTCATGAAAGCTGTTCCTGCGTAAGCCTGGTAAATTTCAGTCACTGTTTTCTCCCCCACACACTTTGACAGAACTGTTAGAATTTTTGCTTTTAAATGCTTGCATCCGCTGCAGTGAGTTGTGTTGTGTCATGATGGATATTCAAGAACAGTCAGTGAATGTGTATGTAAAGTTGTAGCTCCATATTTGTCATGTTACTGCAGATGTCAATACATGTCAGTGGCACCTGTATGTTTCAAGCTGAATTGTTATTTAAGTGTGTTTCTGTTCAAATAGCTTGGTGAGGATCTAGAAATTAACAATCAGTTAACAGACACAAAACCATAAAAAGATACACGACAGTGTGTGTAAGGAAGGTATATGGCTTGGAAAGATAAATCCTTCGTTATCTGAGAAAAGCCAGCTGCGGCAGTGCAAACACCTCCTTCCTGACAAGTTGCCCATCACTTGGCATCTGACTCAACAGCTGCTGGAAAAGGCCAGAGCCCTGTTTACTCATCATTATACATCTGCTGTCCACAAACACAGCAAGACACACAGTGTGATCCCCTGCACACAAGTCAACCACTGGAAAAGATAACAGAGCATCCACAGCCTGCTGCTCTTGCCTTATGAATGAATGTTATTCATTCATTATTATGTAATGAATGGTATTCTATGTTATATGTTTGCTGTTGTGTCCATGTATGTCTCACTATGGACCCTGAGTCTGAAATAAAGATATATATATAATGGCTACGTACAGGCAGTGACGGTGTGTTTAGTTATCCAGTGATGGTGTTTCTATAACTAGGATGACATGTCTCGGCAACCTCGACTCATTTCAGTAAAGTGTATTAATAAGGTCATGTTGCCCTGACGGATGTCATGGTGAGATTAGTTTAGTGTGGAGTTGCAGGTTGCTGTAACAGAGCCATTTTTACACTGATGATAATTTACTTAAGTCTCCAGTGTAAGTGAATTTCCCTTAAAGACATATATGAATGAGACACTTGTAGAAATGAAGGTTTCAAGAGTTCTCCCTGAAGATCTGAGGTTCTACCCAGAGCCATTTGAACCTGAGGAAAGAGTTTTTCAAGGGTTCTTCATAGCCATGGCACAGGTTGTGTGTCAAATCTGAGGGGGGGACATGTGAACCAGGGGATTTGGGGTCCTCCCACAGGAAGTTTTGAGTGTCAGACTCTTAATTTCCTGTATTCTGGTGAATTTTTCTGCATCAGTATGTGGTGGAAAAGTCTTAAATTCGGCAATGCACATAAATATTGAGGGGAAGGTGTCCCCTGCATCCTCTTGAAATCTACATTTATGCTTTGTACAACTAAGATTTCACTAGCGAGACCCCGGCCACAACAATATGTCATTTAAATGTTTAATTATAATTTAGGAGGTGTTAGCTGTTGAGAACTGGTGAATGGATGTAAGTGAGGGGAGACTCAGTGTGGGGGTTCCATCTCAGGCGTTTTTCCACCTGAGCTGATTACAGGCCCCCAGACAGTACCTAGAATGAGACATGGGAGAGGTACGCACCAGACTTAATAAGAAGAGATGAGGGGAGAAGGGAAGAGAGGATGCAGGAATGCTGGTAGGTATGAAGAAGGGAGGATGATGGATGAAGAGAAGGGACAGGAAGGGTTGGTTAGAGAAATCTGAGACAAACAAAGCAGGATGGGTTGACCAGGAATGAGTAGGATTGGCAGGTAATTGGAGGTGAGTTAACAATTTAACTTCATTTCAATTAAATATCCTTTTTAGCCAAATAACTCTTTTTGGATGAAAGAGTTCTCTAAGGATTTTTGAAAGCATAGGTATTAAATATAGCTCCCTCACCCTCAAATATTTAAATGTTTACCTACATTTAAAATGGTATTTTTAAATATCGATGTATCTGGAATCCCTGTAATCATTTATATTCACTTTTGTTTTGCCATAGTTGATATTTTTACCATCTTATCATGCCATACAAAAGTCAGTTGCATACCTTTACTGAACCGAAATCATGTTAACTGGTTGATGACGTACAGCAAAGGGCGTGGGTCAGAAACGAACCCAGGCCACTGCAAAGGCCTCAGCCTATACTGGGCACTCACTATACCAGGTGAGCTGGAGGTTGTCCCAGCATCTTTATTTCTTCACTGTATTGAAACTGTGATTTTAACCTCTCACAACTGATACCAATTTATGAGGAAAATCTTTACCATTTCTTGTATTAAAGTTAGGTATCAAGAACCTGAGTGTTTACTTCAATGTGATCAGTGTCAGGTCCAGTAATAATGACACACTTGGAGAACCTTGTTCACTACATTAATTCAGGGTTTGTGCATTTACTGTTTGAGGTGTAACAGACATTCGGTTATAAAATCAAGCATTGCTTTCAGTGATAAAGTTCATCTTCGCTCTCCAGCTCTTCATCTGCATAGGAAGAAGAAGAAGATGCATTGTCCATCTCACTGCTTGCTTTCTCTGCTGGGACATGTCGTGTCTTCCTGTGCTGAACGGGACGCTGGAACCCTCCTCAGGACCAGTCTCAGACCAGTGGGGTCACTGGGGTCATCGTAAAGGAAGGATTTCCACACAAAGTCTCCAGCATTGCTGCGGACAGCTTGTGGGGGACGTAGGTCAACACCTCCGCTAAGTCGCTAGGTCCTCAGTTTGGCACCCAGGTGAAGAATTGCAGGTGGCCTCTCAGAGAGGACAGGGTGGGAATCTTCCTCTGGTTTACTGCATGAACAACGAGGCTACAGAGGGTTGGAAATGTCTGTGAACTCATCCTCCTCATATTTTTAGAGGGAAAAAATGCAAAAACATTTTGCATCCACCTCTCAAGCTTACTGATGGGGAAAGTCTGACAATCAGAAGTTACATTTTTGACTTGAAAATAAATTATTTGTTAAGTTTTAACCAACAATACAAATAGAAAAATATAACTCTTTCTCACCTTTGCCATCTCAACAGCAGGTGAATGCAGATTGACAGGTGGATGCAGGACTCTTGCAGTACTTGAAATACTTGATAAAGGATTATTTTAGGAATAAGTCAACAGTTTACATTTCAACTGTTTGTGACAGTTTGTTCAAACACTTAGAGACGTTAGTATTCTGATGCATCGCCCATGGTTACAATCACACAAAGGACTGATTGATTATGTGTTTGCTTTCAATTCATCTCACTATGATTAGACACAAAAGATTCAACACTGCAATATTATCACCTGCTTAAACAATGTGTGCAGAGAGGCATCTTTTGGAGGCTGAATTAAAATAATCATGTGCAATAAATAATAAGAATAAAAGTAAAATAAGAAATAGAAAAAAAAGATTTTCAAGGATTAAGGGTAAAAAATACAAAGATGAGAAAAAATACGTGATGTGCTCAGCGTGTTGGTGGGCTCTGCAATCTTTCAGTTTATGAAAATATAAAATGTACATAATTCATACATAAGCGAACACAAGCACAGCATGATTTACTTCTGCATAAAAATAAAATGACTTTGACAGTTACTTGAATTTGTTTAATACATTAGTGGAGAAAGTTTTACAGGGTTTTCCAAGCAAAAATAATAAAAGGGAAAAATTAAAAATTACTCTATCGGAGAGCATCACCCACCAAACTGAGGTCCTGACCAGTGTCTGCTGGTCTTAGACTCTATGGCAGGGGTGTCAGGCCAGAACTGGCCCACCAAAGGGTCTAATCCGACCCACTGGATGACCGTGCACACCTAATAGCACTTATAAAGGCTATGAGGTGCCAGGTTTCAGGAGCAAGTTAAACATTGAGTAGGTTTTTTTGTGTAAAGTGCTGCTTCAGACGCTTTTCCATCCCAACCACTTTAGTTTAGTTTGGTGTGGTGATGCCAGGATTACGACACAGGAGTGGGAATGTATGGGAAAATGCACATGTAATGACAGCGAGTAGTCGACTGACTGAATGTGGAAAAAACTGAGAAATATTGTTGAAAACATTCTGAGCTGTTGTTATTTATAGGCTATTATGCAATGGTTTTACTGCCCCGACCCACCTCTAATCAAATCAAACCGTATGTGGCCCGTGAACTGAAATAAATTTGACACCCCTGTTCTGTGGGAATCCCTTCTCTCCTCTAACACCAACACACACAGCCATTATTCACATTGATGTGGCTTATTTTATCGGCAACATGAAATCATTTGACCAAAACAGTAAGAAAGTCATGTTTGTTATGTAATGATCAGGAAACAAAGACTATGTGTATAAAAATATTGTGTGTGTTCATGTTTCCTGTGAACAAACCATAATCCTTGAATCTGTTTCACCATGGTGAAGTCTCACAGCATCTTGCTCTCTGTTGTTCCTCATACTCATTACATGATTCCCCACCCATTAATGTCAGAGAAAACTGCCTGTGATAATTGACAAATGCATAAAATGGCTGTAATTTGCGCAGCAATCTGTATGTTATTCCACCCCGTTCATTAAAGTAATAATTTGTGTATTCAATAGTGATAGTGAAGCTGAAGGCTCATAATCACATGTGAGTGTCAGTGAGAGTTGAATGATTCACAAAAGGCTGAGGCTGAGGCTGTTAGTTTTATGCAAATGGCTGCCATTATGATGAGGAGTGAGCGCACAGTGAACTGGAATCACATGCAGCAGCTCAATAAGTGATTATTCCTGGGGGAAAGAACAATTTAAAAAACAATTCAGCTCCATTGAGAGAGATGAAGTGTTATAACTCCACCTTGTGGAGAGGATAATAGGTCTTATTAGTGCTCGTGAAGTACAAGAGGACTACCTCTGAAGTAGTCTTGTAAAGTAATAAAACACATATCACTCCTGTTGCCTGGTGCTTTGAAATAATTTAATCAAGACAACAGGAAGTCAGATAAGAAATGTTTTAAGACACATCCTCTTATTTCCTCTATCTTGAGTCTGCATTCATTATAAATCTTGATTTTTATATTAAGTTAAAGTTGCATAATATCTCCTGTTTTCTTCACATGTTACATAAATAAGGACGCATTAATAAAGAGATTATCTCCAAATTTAAACAGCAGGAAAATGTTCATGTATTTGACTGTCTACATTTCGGCCACTAGAGGGCAGTGTCGCCATTCACATAGTGTTTCCACGCCAGGTGAAGATGGTCGTTTTCACTTCACGGTAAGACCACTTACTGGGTTTGTTTTGATTCAGTCTTCGGCTCTGATATTATATTAATTCATATTTAATTAGAAATGATGACAAACTCCAGCCCAGCACTTATAATACTCTCCAAAAGCTTCACTCTTCTACCCGACCATGCAATCTGTCGTGCTTTGGTCCTTTAAATCTCTCTGGAAATCACACTCAGTTACAGTTTACTAAGCTGTTGCTGTTTTGTGTTGCGTTATACTAACAGATATTTATAATATTATGCCATCCTCATTGATATGAAATGGACACATTATCAAAATTAAAGACACTTCTCAGTATCATAGCAGGGCTGCTGTATTAGACAGTTAAATGTACTTAAAAACTGGCAGCTGAGAGTAGAGTCGTTCATAGAAAGTGCAGATTTAAAGCCCCCCTGTGTTACTTCACATGTTTGAGCTCCACTGTAGGCCTACATAATAATGTAGCCTGTGCGCACTAGAGGGCTGTTTTCACACTCATCTGCTGAAGGAGGAAAGTGTCTCTGTGCTCACCTTAAATCTGAGTTTAAGACCTGTGTGTGCAGTATGATTTTGTGACATCACAACTG